ACAGAAGGACCATGCAATCTTGAAATTATGTGGGTTGGTTAAAATTAGGCCATGATAAGTGGGCAATCCTAAAAAATGTGAAAGCGTACCATGATTCCCTGAAGCTGACAGGCTTGAACAATCCTTAACATGCTGGTTTTCTCTGTCAGGAGAATTGCCTTTCCCCAGTTCCCTAAAGAGGAATGTACTAATGCAACATGTGGCCTCCTTCAGCATATTCCCCTCGCAGTCAGCCCCCTTTAGTAGAAGAGTAGTTTGCCAGGGATGACCATGATCTTTTCTGTGACCTGCTAGATTTGCATTAGAGTAGAGTAGGAGTCTTCAAACGTGGCCCTTTTATGACTTGTGAACTTCAACTCCCAGAATTCCTCAGCCAGGCATGCTGGCTGAGGAATTCTGGGAGTTTAAGTCCACAAGTCATAAAAGGGCCACGTTTGAAGAAGACCCCTGGAGTAGAGGGAGGTCCCATCATGAGTGAGTGTTCAAATTTGCCAATCCGTGCATGCCGTAGGGACGGCTCAGATTCAGGAGAAACAATCCCTCTTCTATGCACAAAAGAGCCTAAGATCAGATCACAGAGGGAGACGTTTGAAAACGTGGCCGGAAAGGGGCCAGAAAAGCAAGCCAAAGTTCTGCTTGTCTGAAAGCTCCCCAGAGGGTAGGAAGAGTGGGAGATGTTTGCCTCTGAACTCTGACAGATGTAAGGACTCTAACAATAGGATTAGCCTGTGGCACGTGCACTCCCCCCCCCCATTCTGCTTTGAAAGGAGGACAATAGCTGTCATCTTCCCGCTTGGTTCACCAGAGGCCATGCTTAGAAGCTGGGCTCACAGGAGGTCAGTGTGCAAGGAGTGGCTCACTCTTTGACCTCGGATGCTTGTTCCTTTCACGCACCACACTTTCTCCAGGATAAAAGTGGAACAGAGTAAACAACAAAAAGGCCACAGAGGAATAGCCTTTCCTACAGCTATCACCTTTTCAGTGGCTGCTTTCTCTCCTGCCTTGGGATCCTGTTCTCAAAATGAAAGCCACCATCTGAACCTGTTGGAAAGCACCATCTGCCTGGGAAGGGGGCAAGCAAGTTCCCCAACTGGCAGATTGATGGGCTGCAATCTGTTCTCTCCACTCCCCCCCCCCCTCAACCTCCCAGTCTGGAGACAGAGCATAAGCCCCCATTGGCTAATGAATTAATTAGTATTGCTGGTAATCCCAGATCCTCCCAAGGCAAGATTGAGCAAGACATGGCTGTTTGCATGGGGCTGGCATGTGGCAGAAGAAGGAGCCCCATGCAGTTTGGAGACCAAACCAGTAATTACACTCAGCAGGACCCCAAGCAAATCTGACTGAAGCTGGAGGTTCCTGGCAATTACCCCCCCAACACCTGCTACCTATTTTCCTGATGCTAGTCAGCCATCAGGATTTTCAGCTCAAGCAGTTATAACAAGTAGAGCTCTTTGTATTGCAGTCTACCTGCTCCAAAAGATACAGCACAACTCTATCTAAGAATCTGGGGATTGAAAGAGAAGCAAGTGGAAGGAAGGGAGGGAGGGAGGGAGGGAGGAAGGAAGGAAGGAAGGAAGGAAGGAAGGAAGGAAGGAAGGAAGGAAGGAAGGAAGGAAGGAAGGAAGGAAGGCTAAAATGGGGGCTTAATCCCCAAATGCATTCAGGACCAGAAGCATTGATTGTAACTTTTTTTATGTAGTTATCTGCCTCCTTGCAAGTTCTGTGCAACCTTCTTGTTGTGTTTGTCTTTTGCTATAAACTGAACCGTGTCTTTTGACTTGGTTCAGTTTATAGCAAATCAATTGTGATATGTGAGGTACACAACGAAGAGGTAAGATATACAAAAAGTAGAGAACTTTATAAGACTGAATCATAAAATGTTAGCATTTTAGATAAGTCCTAACTTTAAAAATTACAGCTGAACCATGAATATAATTCCTCTTGTCTCTGCCCCCCCCCCCCATGCACATTTCTTTTACTACTGGTAGGTTCCCTCTTCTCAGCTCACTTTTTGCCTGCCAGCATAACCAACAACACTATGACAGCCTGCCCTGTGTTTAGTCCTACTAATATTCACAAGGGAAAGAATAAGGACATCTGTTGTTCAGTCCTCAGTACTACCTTCAGTAATCCAAAGTTGTGGGCTTCACCTTACTGTTTTAAAAAGCAAGTATCCGGTCCTCATGAAAATATTTAAACTCTGTAGATAATGCTTGGGTTTTTTTTTTAAAAAATCAAAACAAAACAAAATCTGGCTAAATAAGATCTCTAGTGTTTAACAGAGGGAACTTTCCTACTCTACTTTGTTTTTTCATGATCAGCAGGAACAAAAAAAAAATGTGGTGTTATAGGAGCAAATTCATTTGCTTAATTTGCTTAATCTGTAGCAATTGCAGAATATATTTTTTCATCATACTGAATTTATCCTGTTAGAAAAAAAATAATGGTGGGCAACATGGTTCTCAAAGAGACTTTCTTTGATACTCATCTACTTTTCCTTAAAGATTTTTTTAAAATAAAGGTAGCCCTCATTTAATGATCACAGTTTGGACTGGAAACTCAGTTCTTAAGCAAAGCAGTCACTAAGTGAAACCATAATTGTGCTTATCATCTTACTTCAGCTTCCTTTTGCTTTCCAGACCTGTGAAGGTCATAAATGTGAGGATTGGTTGTAAAGTTACTTTTTAATCACTGTCGTAAATGTGACTGGTCACTAAACAAGGCAGTCACTAAATCAGAGCTACATGTATTGAATGGAAAGCTGCAAAGTAATATATCAGCTTCAAGCATCATCCCTAAAGTTCCATGGGCATTATTAGAATTGGGTGACTACAGACATGGCTAATAAAAACTGTGCCATTTCCCAGGAAGATAAGAAAAGGTGAAATGATAAGGAGCATTGTTGGATAAGTAGAGATGATAGGAGTAAGAGAAGCTTATCATCCTGCTTTATGGTGAATGAGCCTTTGTAGACAGCCATAAGTCATAGTAAGACACACAAAATCCCAAATAAATCTATTGAGCTATAAAACATTTTCTACCCCTGAACTGTCCATGGCTTAGAGTGCATGGCTTATTGGTCAAAGGTGTGGAGTTGCTTGCTGATCGTGTCTTGCTAATATTGGTGTCTGTGATCCTTAGCAAATAGGAGTGCAGCTCAATTTAATATAGGCCCCCATCAGGATGGCCTACTTATATTGGATAACAGGCAAAATTCTGATTGAAAATATTGGGAGATGTAGCATATCAAGGTCATGTTTTGGAACAAAACCTGGAAGTTATGTTCAGGTATATCCAACTAACCCATAAATATTGATAGGATGCCACAGGGCCACTGGGTGTTCAGAGGGCAGAAAAGTTATTTATCTATTTGTTTATTTATTGGATTTATGTCATACCAATCTTGTCCAGAGTTCCTTCCTTCCTTCCTTCCTTCCTTCCTTCCTTCCTTCCTTCCTTCCTTCCTTCCTTCCTTCCTTCCTTTCTTCCTTCCTTCCTTCTTTCCTGCCTTTCTGCCTTCCAGATGTCATTTTAAGAATGTAAACCTTGGCAAGTATGAAACAAGTTTCTGGCAAAGAAGTGTGTGTGTGTATGTGTGTTTGTGCATGACCTCATTTTAAGGTGCTAAACCAGTGGCCCTTCTGATGTTGTTGAATTACAACTCTCAACCGTCCCAGTCAACATGCGGGTTGTGAGGGATGCTGGGAAATGTAGTTCAGTAATATCTGGAGGAGCATGGGTTTTTCAGCCCTGATCTATCTAAATGCACATACTCTTGATATACTACAACTGCTCCAAATTGAACTTGAAACTGCCATTTTTAATCTTTAATAAATGCATCTACTCTCTATGCAGGCATTCACAAAGTTAAGTCAACCCAGGAAGTAAACCCAATGATAGATAGATATGTGTGTGTGTGCTTATGTATATGCATACATACCTACAATCTGTCATGTGTCTCATTGTGGTTGGAAGTCGACACAGAATTGGCACCAATCCCAGTTTTGAGTGTTTGCCTACTACTATGGTGTGGGGGTGAGGGGCAATAATGGTTATCCATAGGGAGCAGAAATGAATTAGGGAGAGTCTGAAGTCTGTGGAAGGAAGCTTGTGACAGCTGAGGAATGAGCTGGCAGGAAATATTGGCCTTATGGACAGCACCACAATAGAGGGAAAAGTAGTGACCACACTGTCAGTGAGATGACACAATCCCTTCTATACATTTTACTTCCAACAAAGAAAAGTAATTAGATTGAATTGTTCCTTTTTCTTAAAACCATCACGGGTCTCTCTGGATAATAAATGTGACCTCTCAGCAGAATGTAAGTTGGGACAAACTTCATCAGAGTCTTTTTGTCTGCTTCTTTAAATGATGATCGTCAGTACCCAGTCTCGGTCTTATTTGCATGAAAGAATGCCAAGACTGGTCCTTTTGCTAATGTGAACACTTTTCACCCACTCCCAAATAGCTTCAAAGAGGTGCCCATCTGTGCCTCCCCTCTTTTGCAGTTTCCCTGCTTTTGGAAACTAATCATTTCACTGAGAGTCTAATTTTCTAAAAGGCTCTTTAAAAAACAATTTTGTGGACGGGGATGGGGTGTTTGAGTGGATGCCTAGCTGCCGTCAAAACTTATCTGAATAGGGATGAGTAGTTCGAATGCTTCTCTAGGACATGGTCATAACAATCTCCTGTAAGACTGCAGACGTCAGCTCTCTCTTTACTCTCTCCTATCATTTCCCTAACCTGAGATGATTCATCTTCAGGCTCCAGCGTTTGGGATGTTTGAAACTCCGACCGCTTTGTGAACCTAGAAACTAGAGGACATGCTGAGTTTTTTCTTTAAAAAAAAAAAAAAATCCCTCGCGCTGGGGCGTGCCGTTGTGGCTGGGTCTTCTTCCTTCTGTCCTCAAAGGGGAGGAGCTCTCGAGCCCGGCTCAGCCAAGCAGAAACCGCCAACACTAAAAAGCTTTCAAAAGTGCCAGGATCTCAAGGAGGAGTTCGCCAGAAACAGGAAGGAGCTGCTCCGAGGACTTGTGGTTCTGAAAAGTCATTGGAAAGTGAGTGCAGGTGTCTTAACTCCAAGGTAGGGCTGAATTGAAGAGTCGAAACTGTTTTTCCAGCCCAGTGAAAGGAACAACCGGAGAAATCGAAAAGGGACCAAAGACAAACTAGAGCTGCGCGAAACGGCTACTTATAATACCAGGAAAGGAGGGAGCTGACCACGGCCTCTGGTGCTGAAGGGTCGGGCCGCGGAGGAAGAATGTTTGAAGACAACTGAAACAGTCAAAAGTCCTTAGCTGACTTCTGCTCCAAGAACGGAGTGAGTGGGACGCGATCAAGAGTTTCCTACGGTAAGTTGGTGGAAAAATGAAACTGTCCCCCATCAGAGATCAGCCAGAAGGCATTGCCAAAAGTCTCTTCTACCTCTGATTGGAACGGGGCTGTAGATTAAACAAAGTTTTAAACTGCTGCCTGCATGAATTCCTTTTTATAGCGTCCCATTTGCCCTCTGAAATAGTGTCTAATTAAAGGCTTTAATGCATTCCCATAAGCAATCTTGACTGTGAATACAAAAACAAGCTAAATGTTAATTAATTTTTAATTAATCCACATTATTCAATGAGTTAGAGAATAGATTGTTTGAACTTTATCCCAGGCAGCAATGTTTATAATTAAAATCAATTAGTGCACATTGTTTACATGCACACAAACACAGTGCCCTTAAACCTATGTAATTATGTTGTCTAAACATAGTGGTTGCAGAAAATAATTTCTTGATCTGAATGAGATTGTATGGATGTATAACAGAGATTCTTATTGTTATTTTTTTATATTTTAACTTTAAAGTACTTAATTTATCAGGGCAAAGGGGATAACTTTAGGTTTGTTATTCTATTTTGGTCTTTTCCAGTTAGAAAATATTTAGATATGTTAGAACTATAACTTCCAGGGTAAGGAAGGCTTTTAAAGTTCAACCCAGAGAGGTTTGTTGGACAATTCTCAATTTTAATTTGTGGCTGGATTAATCAAGTCATGGCATTTTTTGTTTAACTGAGGTGGGGGGGAAGTGAATAATATATAGAGTTGAAATTGTTGGTTAATGATAGCTTACATTTAAAAAGAGAGATCTACCACAAAAATTGCAACAACAACATTTGTGTGCGAGAGAAAAATCCATCATCTTAAGGTGCATGCACATTCAGCATTCAAAGAGAAACAGCATAGAAGAATAAGTATGTCTCAGAGGTAGTTTTATCCATTCCCTTACTCAGATTTGGGGAAAATTTCTTTGGTATTCCAAAGGTGACTTCTGAACCTTACTGGTTTCGATATGTGGTCAGCTTTGGGGAGAAGCCATAATAAAGCACATGCTTTGTTTCACTAAGTTTCTCTGATTGAAAGGGTCTTGGGTAACTGAAGGAAAGCACTACTCTAAACTTTAAAGAGCTACATTCACCATAAATTGGATGGCTGGATCTATGGCTAGACCTGGCATAAGAATTTAATAAAGTGATGCAATTTATTTGTTTTAAACTTAGGAGTATTCTTGTTGAATTTAATATTCTTGGAAATCATGAAAGTGAGTGGCTTAGACTAATTTTTATTAAGGTAAAGTTCCTTTTGAGATTAGAACAACTCTTGACAACTTCATGCATATACATGTAGAGTTTGTTTGATTCTAATACAGAAGTATCTTGGTATTATGTTGCTCATGCAAGTGTACAGATTTCCTGATAATCTCACTCCTCACTCCTCCTCCTCCTCCTCCAAAGTAAATGTCATTACTTTCTACATTTTATTGGAGAAGTGTCCTATTCATCATAGTGCAAATGATCTAGACCACTGCAAAAACACTTGCCCTGCCAGTAACATTAATTTCATAGTTTCAAGATGTATTGGCCCTTTGATAATCTGCAAAGTTGCCACATAATGTCTTTGCCATTTGTTCTCTCATTTAAAAAGTACCCCATTTATTCAGATACTAGTAGATTTGATAGACAGATTGGTGGTAATAAAAACATGAAAAGGGAAGAATGATGGTTCTCGCTCAGCTTCAATGAAAAGAGAAAAGAAGAGATTTGGGCAAAACTCAAAATACAGATGCCCACAGCTATTTCAAATGAGGAAACATGATGCCTTTCTCCATGCCCTTTGGCCAAGCCCCATCTGGCTCTGCTTTCCCCAGACTTCCCCAACTGAACTGACAGACAGCTTGTAATTCTCTAGGAATATTAATCAGATATCCCCCAACCCTTCAACCTCATGGCACTAGGAAGAGTGTAATTGGAAGCAAGGAGGAAGGTTTGCTTTTACTATAAAGATCTCTCTCCTTTAAAAACTGTATTAACAGGCTAGTATGAAAGAGTAAAAGTAAAAGAAAAAAAATCCTAGTTTCAGATGTAGATATACCTAAATAATGTTCATATATTCTTGGAAAACTAAGGTGGGACAGAGGTATTTGGAAATGATTTGTTAATGAATGATTTGAAAGTAGGACTAGTATAGATATAGATGTGTGTAAGAAAGAAAGGAGGAGAGAAAGTATTTCTATTTATATGGAATGTACTTCTATTTATATGGAATGAAACTTGTAGCCAGCATGAGTTTGGTAATAGCAGTTCATGCCAAACCAATCTTATTTCATTCTTTGACAAAGTGACTAAATTAGTAGACCAACAAAATGCCATGGACATTGTATACTTAGACTTCAGCAAGGCATTTGACAACCTACTTCTTGGTAAACTAGAAAAATGTGGGATAGACAGCATCACCACCAGATGGATTTGTAACTGGCTGACAAACTGTACTCAGTGAGTAATCCTTAATGGTACTACATCTACATGGAGGGAAGTAAGCAGTGGGGTACCACAAGGTTCTGTCTTAGGCCCAGTACTCTTCAATATCTTCATCAATGACTTGGATGAGGGAATTGAAGGGGAATTCATCAAATTTGCAGATGACACCAAACTGGCAGGAGTAGCCAACACCCAAGAAGACAAACCCAGGATCCAAAAAGATCTTGACAAACTTGAACAATGGGCCCTGTCCAACAAAATAGTTTCAATGTGAAGCAAAGCAAAGTTTTACATTTAAGCAGGAAAAAATCAAAGGTACAATTACAGACTGGGCAAGACTGGCTTAAAAACAGTAACTGTGAGAGGGACCTTGGAGTCCTAGTGGATGATCATTGACCATGCACCAGGAATAGAAGGGGAACTCATCAGCAGATGACACTAAGCTGGCAGGAATAGCCAACACCCCAGAAGACAAACTCAGAATCCAAAAAGATCTTAACAGACTTAAACAATGGGCCCTATCCAACAACATGAAATTTAATGTGGAGAAAAGCAATGTTTTACACCTAGGCAGGAAAAACCAAATGAATAAGTATAGATTAGGCAAAACCTGGCTCGAAAACAATAACTATGACAGTAACTTGAAGTCCTAGTGGATGATCACTTAAATGTGAGCCAGCAGTACGCAGCAGCAGCCAAACAAGCTAACACAATCCTTGATTGTATAAACAGAGGTATAGAATCAAAATCAGGTGAAGTATTAGTACCTTTTTATAAATCCTTAGTAAGATTACACCTGGAATACTGCATCTAGTTTTGGTCACCACATTGCAAAAAAGATGTTGAGACTTTGGAAAAAGTGCAAAGAAGAGCAACTAAGATGATTAGGGAGCTAGAAGCTAAAACATATGAAGAATGGTTGCAGAAATTGGGTATGGCCAGTCTAGAGAAAAGAAGGACTAGGGTTGACAGAATAACAGTATTCCAGTATTTTTGTGGAACTGCCACAAAAAGGACAGGGGTCAACTTATTTTCCAAAGCACCAGAAAGCAAGACAAAAAAAAATGAATGGATGGAAGCTAATCAAGGAGAGAAGTAACCTGGAATTAACGAGAAACTTCTTAACACTGAGGACAATTAATCAGTGGAACAGCTTGCCTTCAGAAGGTGTGGTTGCTTCATCATTGGAGGTTTTTAAGAAAAGACTGGACAGCCACCTGTCCAGGTGGTTGGACTAGAAGACCTCCAAGGTCCCTTCCAGTTCTATTCTGATTGGTTAAAATTGGCACAAAATGAAAACTTAGCACAATTTGCCTTTTTCTTAGTTTTTTCAAACTCCAGTTAGACAAGATTTAGATTTTAAAATTCAACCATAAACAAAATTTATTTATGTGAGGTAATGATATTCCAAACCACATCAAAATCCAACAAATTCATAACTTTGAATAAGGAAAGAAGAGAGGGGATGAGAAAGGCTTACTGTTTAACTGCAAATGTAATTACGTTAGCAAATGTTGAGCAAAGCATTCAAGTTGATGATTCCCATAATAATAAATTTAAATCAGTGTATGCTTATAGTAAAGGAATATGGCCCAGATTAGTGGAAAAGAGAACATGCTTTCCATTCAAAAATTCTTAATTTCATTCTCATTCATTTGCAAAGTTTTTGCAAATAGAGTTGGGCACGACTCTTGGACAGAACCTTTGACAAGCTATAATCCATCAGAGAGTATGAAGATTTGTTGCAGCTGTATTTGACATGATAGCTTTCTGTTTGGAGTTTAAATTCCTTCTATTGAATTAGAACTTGTGTTCTTAAAACATGCTCTAAATAAGCAGCAACCAGTGCTAGAGATAATCCGTATATCAACAATGTTCAGCTGCCTCCCAGGATTATTAAGAAAATGGCCAGAGATCTTTAACTCTAAAAAGTAGGAGGAAAAAAAGTTTAGCTCTGGTGAATAAAACCTATACAAAAAGTTTGATTTATTTGTCCTGTTGAAAGACAAATCATCTGCTATATATATGATAGCTTCTGGTCTGCAGCAAAGATTCCAATCTAGCTATATTGTGCCTAAGAATCTTCTACCAAATTAAGATTGCTGAAAAGGGAGTTAAGTATCTGGAGACCTGGTATTTACTCACACCTCAAATGACTCTAGAAACAGACTTTTGAAAATCAGGTTGTATGACATAGCCTAAGGATAGGGCTACTGTCCCAAGTAACAGACGAAATATTCTAAAATCAACTTACACTGTAAAAATTAACAGTGGGGTAAAACAATAGTTACTTCAGCAAATAACATGCAAGCAATAAGCCACTGTGTAGTCTGCTGCATTGTCTGGAAAGAGAATAAAAACTTTTGCAACTGGCTAAATTACTAGTGATGCTGATGTTGTAAGATATAGGAAAAGACAGAGCTAAGATCACATTAGATAGACTGGGTCGATTTGTTGAATTTTAGTAGGTGATTTTGCTCCTTGCTGATATTGAAGTGCAGAATAAAATATAATTACAAAAACTACTGTGTTGGATTTCATTAGTTGTGGGTGTG